AGCCTGGCCCGGCCCCGCCTCGTCCCGCCCCACCCCCCGCGGGCCCAGGCAGCGCACGCACCGGCTCTTAAATACGTTTATTGAGGGGCAGGGAGGGGGCCACACCGCTTCCTGACAAGGGCACCAGGCCTGTGCTCGGCCCCGCTCCCCTCAGCCCCCACCGCAGCCAGCCAGGGGTGGTTACAGCTTCAGCCAGGCCCCCGCTTGCCCGTGCCGCACGTCCAGCCCCAAACAACGCGGAGGCTGCCAGGGCCTAGGAGCCGAGGCTGCAGCTGAGCCCGTGCCCAGGGCTGAGTCCAGCCACGGGGCGACGCAGAGCTGGGCCGCTTCGCTGCAGGAAGCCAAGGCTCAGCCCTCGAACCCAATGGGAAGCCACAGGCCGCGGGGCAGCTGGGCCCCTGCCACGTTCCTGCCCCACGCCCACAGCGGGGCAAGTGCAGACGGCAGGGGGAGGCAGCTCTGGGCACCTACCTGCCCCTCCGCTGCTCACCACACACCAGTGTGGGTGAGAGCAGGGCTGGGAGCCAGGGGAGGTCTGAGAGGCCCTAGGAGCCTCTTACAAGGGTATGGGCAACATGGAGAAAATGAACTGCTGGCAGGCCCTGGGCCTGGGGAGCGCAGGAGCCGGTGTTTCCCCGCCACGCGGGCACAACTGAGCAGAGACCAAACAGCTCAGGCCTGGCAGCTTGCCACAGGAACCACCAATACAGCAGGCAGCCCCCATGGGCCAGGCTCAAACTTCAGAGAGCAGAGGGGCCGAGCGGAGAGCTCGCGCCAAGTACTTCCGATGCCGAGCCGTGCCTGCACTAGGGCTGGCATTGGGCTTTGAGAGGCAGGAGTCTCAGGTCTCTGGCTCTTCCTGCTAGGGCGCAGACCCTGGGCCTAAATGAAAACCCCGCCCTTCCCTCCAGCTGCTGGGCTGCCTGGGAGCCCTCCCACGCTGGCAGTGCCACTGCTGTGCTTCCTGGTGCTGCGTTCCCCTCCACTGCCTTTCTGGAGGGTGGAAGGGACTGGTGCCCCCGAGCCTGGCACAACGTGAAGAGCTGAGACCACCGGGCCAGGAGCGGGAGAGCTTTGCATCTGAATGGCTCCAGGTGGCATCTCCCCCACGTGGCTTGAGGGGAAGGCGGCGCTGTTGCAGATCGCTTTGTGCACCTGCCCAGGAAGCGACGTACTGATCTCAGCCTGGGCCTGCCCGGTTTCGTGCAGGGCAGGTAAGGCACCAGCTGTCAGAGACAAGCCAGAAGTCACAGAGTCTTCTTAGACGGGCACCAGGTAGTGTCAGGGTAGAGGAGACAGTGAACAGATCTGAATCTGTGAAGAGGGAGACGGAAGGACGTGAGCCGGGAGCAGGCATCCCAGCAGGAGCGTGGTGGCAACACACCAGCCGGTGGGAGACCCTGGTTTAGCACACGCCTGACCTCAGCGTGTCCAGGCAGCCCGGACGAGGCAGGGGAGCTTGTTCAGAGGCAGACTCACCGCGTTGGATCCTGCTGCAGGCCGAACGCTCCTCCCACGCTCACAACATTGTGCTTGTTCTCGGGGCCTCCGTAACTCAGGGTGACCTGGAAGCGCAGGCAAGTTCGCTCAGGACATGCAGGACAGCAGTGATGGGGGGGCTGGCAGCAAAGGGGCCTGACGGGGGAGCAGGGCAAAGGCTACAGCGAGCATCTTCTCGCTTCAAAGCCGGAGAGTTCAGGTCTGCAACCGTCTTTAGAGCAGCAAGATGAAGGGATTGGCTCTTGCAGCTAGACTTGGGGGCAAGGCCGGACGTATCGCTGGCATCCCAGCAACGCCGGAGAGATTCTGCCAGGCATGGACATGGCCCTGGCAGCGCACTGGCACTGCCCACTGAGGCTGTAGGGCTGATCTCAGCTAGCACTGCGCTGGGGAGCCAGGAGCTTGGCCCCACCTCAGCTCCACCTGTCGCCTGCACACCACGGGACCGCAACAGCGGTTTCAAGCCAGCACGGGTGTTTGGATTCCCCCGACAGAGGCTGCTCCGTGTCTTGACCTGCGACAACCAGCAGGTGCTGGGACCCAGGAGCAGACCTCAGAAAGAATAACGAAGGGCCTGGGGGGCACGAAGTCTGAAGAGCAGCGTTTCCCTGCTCAGGCAGGAAGCAGCGCTCTGGCCGGGGACGGCACTGAGCAAAGCCTGAGGCTTGTCCCTACCTGCTGCAGCACTGCCTCGCCTTGCAGCCTCTGCAGGTTCTCCAGGTGGGAGTGGAACAGGGGGCTGTGCAGCAGCCTCACGTCCAGCAGCCCCTCAATGATGTAGCCGATGGTGCAGTCGTCGGGCAGACGGACCCTCTCCGCAGTGCTGATGAAGTTGCCCAAGCTATCGAACAGAGCGGGGAGACTGAGACCTAACGCACCCTGCACCCTCCCAAGCCCACAGGGGCAAGGGCCTGCTGCTGA